CCAGCGGATCACAAGGTCAGGAGATCGAGACCATCCCTGGCTAACATGGTGAAACCCCGTCTCTACTAAAAATACAAAAAATTAGCCAGGTGTGGTGGTACATGCCTGTAGTCCCAACTACTTGGGAAACTGACTTCTCTCTTACAGTGAGTAGTAGGAAAACAGGACAGTGATCTAATTCCTGCAAAAAACCACCAATCTAAATCTACACTCACCTCAGCATAAAAATGCACTGACTTACTGTCAGCCAGCTGCAACTGAGACGTAAGTTCCACTATCCTTGCCATGTAGTGATTTTTAATTAAGTCTTCACGAGATTCCACATCTGGAACCTAAATAGAACACAAATACACATAAATAAACAAGTACCAGTGAGATGAAGCATTTCCAGAAAAAAAATTTTGTACATTTTCACTTGAAGTTTGATGAGGAATCACTGTTCTCCTACCCCTCAAAGAAACTTCAGACATAGCAGGGAAGTGTATATTTCAAATTTATTTTATTTAGCATCCTTTCTATTTCAGAATGAAGTTACGGCTTCAAGAGAACAGAACTAAAGTATTGAGAAGCCCACTGGAACCATGTCCCTCCATCCAGCTTTTATTAGCCACAAACCTGACTTTCTTTTTTTTTTGAGACGGGGTCTCACTCTGTCGCCAGGCTGGAGTGCAATGGCATGATCTCGGCTCACTGCAACTTCCGCCTCTCGGGTTCAAGCGATTCTCCTGCCTCAGTCTCCCAAGTAGCTGGGATTACGGGCACGCGCCACCATGCCCAGCTAATTTTTGTATTTTTAGTAGAGACAGGGTTTCACTATGTTGGCCAGGATGGTCTCGATCGCTTGACTTCGTGATCCACCTGCCTCGGCCTCCCAAAGTGCTGGGATTACAGGCGTGAGCCACTGCGCCCGGCGAAACACAAACCTGACTTTCAAAATGTCCATCTGTCTGACTCCTATGCCCTCCTCCAACTGGAAGAGGGCAGGGGAAAGGGGCATATTTATTGGAACCACTAAAATCAAACATTCTTGTTTTCTCCAAAATTATCTTAAGACAACACTAATACTTGTAAACATACTAATAAATTAAACTATTTCTATATTGAAGAGTTTGTGGCCTTTGTCCCAGACTGGTATTTCTACTAGTTACTCAAACAATGACACCCTGTTGAGTTTAGTTTAAAAACACACACAGAAGTTCATGATTATCTATATTACAAGAATAAATACAGAAATCAAAGAATCTACAAGCTTACTTGAACTATATTAACCAGTTTGCCATACTGAGTGGTCAGTTGGATGACTTTGGTGCTTATTTAACAGTTATTTATAAAGTTACATCTTAAAGCAGCTGGGCACAGTGGCTCACACCTATAATTCCAGCACTTTTGGAGGCCGAGGCAGGTGGATCACCTGAACTCAGGAGTTTGAGACCAGCCTGGCCAATACGGCGAAATCCTGTCTCTACTAAAAGTACAAAAATTAGTTGGGTGTGGTGACATGTGCCTGAAGTCCCAGCTACCTGGGAGGCTCAGGCAGGAGAATCACTTGAACCCGGAGGCAGAGGTTGCAATGAGCTGAGATCATGCCACTGCACTTCAGCATGGGCGATAGAATGAGACTCTGTCTCTAGATAGATAGATAGATAGATAGATAGATAGATAGATAGATAGACAGACAGACAGACAGACAGATAGACAGACAGACAGACAGACAGGGTTACATCTTAGATTATTTCAAAATTCAAAAGTACAAACCTATCCGACAGGCCAAATCTGACCTGGGTTCACTTGCTTTGAGGGCAGGAAACAGCTACCAAGTACATTGTACTTAGTCAAGGCCCTGGATAGCCCTTGCTAAGCCCTGCTTTCCTGGCTGCCCACTGCGAGGACTAACACAGCTCTCAGCCTCATGTAGCATGCCAGCGAATGAAGACCCAAGCAGGAGCCACACCTTGTCAAATCTCCATGGCAAGTCAGTCAACAAGGCAACTATAAAAACAGGCTATAATTTGTTGGTGACTGTCAAAACAGAACCAGAGAAAAGGTACATGGATCCATCAATGAAGGTGGAAAACACTGGCTCCACATTTGCTAGAAGTGTCAGAAAACAACAACAACAACTGGACAAAGACGGCTTTTACAGGACTTTGTCGACAAACACGCTGCCAGATATTTACTAACAAACAACATGATGACAAGCACACGTTACCTCACTGTCCGATGTCCTGGTTAAAGTGCCAATCTAGAACATAAGGGGAAAAATCTTTTAGAACAGAATGTGTACATTTCAAGCACAGTAGGTCAAACACTTGTAATATTTTCTCCTCCCCGTTCATACCATTTTACAGAGCATTGAGGGTACAGTACTAGAAGATCATCCTCGGATTGTCTCTTACTACAAGGACATGAAGATAGCTAACTGCATTTACTATTTCTGCCATGAGGCAGTAACCAATAATGATCATCACTAAATCTTCTATCAAAATGCTGATTAGCCATTCTCACTGAAACCCAACAAATCACCCAGGAGAGAGGAGATCAGCTTTTAACCACAGCTTGCCATTTCTACATCTATTTCCAAACCAGTAGCCAAGAAGGGGTAAAGACAGTTTTACGGTGACTATAATAATTAAACATTCGAAACAGAAAATGCAAATAATAAACACTCTGGTTGAAAGCTCAAAGGGAGAGAGAAGAAATAAATACACTTTTGATATAATGTTATTATGACATGAGTAAGTATAAATTTTAGATGTAAATTAATGAAAACAAAAATGTAATTTTAAACACATTAAAATGCTGCTAGATTTTTTTCTAATTTTTTTCAGACACAGGTCTCCCTCTGTCACCCAGGCTGCATTACATTGGTGCAATCAGCAGCATCGAATTCCTGGGCTCAAGAGATCCTCCATCTCCAGCCTCCTGAGTAGCTGAGATTACAGGCATGAGTCACCGTGCTTAGGTGCTGCTAGATTTTTTAAAAGTTTGTTTCTATAGTTTAAGATTTCAAAAACAGATGGTCATGATTACTTAATTCTGGTTATTGTTCAAGGTGGAGGGGCATGTGCTTGGGTACAATGACAAGGAAACTAATGGAAACTCAGTGTCAATGGATTCTGTAAATAATAGATTATACTCAATGAACAGTTTTTTTTTGTTTTTTTGTTTCTTTTGAGACAGAGTCTCACCCTGTTGCCCAGGCTGGAGTGCAATGGTGTGATCTAGGCTCACTGCAACCTCCACCTCCCAGGTTCAAGCAATTCTCCTGCCTCAGCCTCCCAAGTAGCTGGGATTACAGGCGCATGCCACCACGCCCAGCTAATTTTTTGTAACTTTAGCAGAGGTGGGTTTCACCATGTTAGCCAGGCTAGTCTTGAACTCCTGACCTCCTGATCCGCCCACCTCAGCCTCCCAAAGTGCTGGGATTACAGGTAAGAGTCACCATGCCCAGTCAACAGACAGTTTTAATGTATTCTAAATAGTATTCTCTGGAGTATTGTTCTCAACACTGAGAGTATATAAACTGAATATGTACTAATGAATATTATGCCCACCTGGCTGTAAGAGTCTTCGATAAGACCTTTCAAAATAGAAGAGCCATAATTTTTCTACTCAATGAAGCAGAAGTAGCAATTACTCTCTTTTAGTTAAAAATTGCTTGGAATAATACTCCAGTCATTTAATTTTACATATTCAAATATGACTGTAGTTTATAAAAATAAACTGCAAGGAAACATCTATTTCACCTGCTCATCCTCACCCCCTTACTCCCGGGTTATGATCTGAAAATGTGGTACAGCACCAAGTCCTTCAAAGGAACGGTATTGTTTAAATGCAAGGAAAACTTTTTACTTTTTTTTTTTTTTTTTTTTGAGACAGAGTCTCGCCCTGTCTCCCAGGCTGGAGTGCAATGGTACGGTCTCAGCTCACTGCAACCTCCGCCTCCTGGGTTCAAGCAATTCTCCTACCTCAGCCTCCTGAGTAGCTGGAATTACAGGTGCCCACCACCACGCCCAGCTAATATTTTTTTCTTTTTACTCTTCAGTAGAGATGGGGTTTCACCATGTTGGCCAGGCTGTTTTCGAATTCCTGACCTCGTGATCCACCTGCCTTGGCCTCCTAAAGTGCTTGGATTACAGGCGTGAGCCGCCACGCCCAGCAATGCAAGGAAAACTCTTAACACAGATTACTTCAACATTTTCTCATATGATACTAACAAGAGTATAAACTGATACAGTCCTTTTAAAAAATAATTTGGTAATAAAGATCAAGGAATTTGAAAATATTCATGCCTTCTGATGTAGTAATTCCAACCCTGAGAATACATCCTGAGGTAATCATTTAACATGCAGAAATAATCTTATACATAAAAATGAGACATTATTTAAAAGTTGTCACCAATGTCTAATCATAGGTAAACTAAGGTATGAGAGATATGGAATACTATGAAATCAGTAAGTTTATACTAAGTTTCTCATAACAGGAGGTTTATGTTTTCACATTATGCTAAAAGATTTGAAATTTCATGTAGTACAATCTCAACTGAATATGAAATTTAGTAGAAAAAAATGATAACATTGGTGGCTTGATTATTCAGGATAATGTCATTTTTATACTTAAAATATATGTTTAAAAATTCTATTAATTTAAGCAATGCTTTTCAATTCCGGCAAAAAACAGAAATGTGTATTGTTTTGTGCTTTTACTTTAAGGTTATTGCTGTCTTTTTTTATAATATATAATAGATGGCTGATTATTCACATTATAATACTAGAGATCTTGCTAAAAATTACAAGCATTTTACTCTTGAAATGTTACAGAGTTAGAAATAAGTTTCTATCTGAGGTTACTTCCTCTGCCTCAAAGTGTTTGAACCAAAGTAATCTCCTGGTAAGATGAGTTTCCTCTGTTAATCAATTAACACTGAAATGAGCACAGACTTGCTCCCAGCACCCAAGAGGAAGAAGACAGAAAAGACACAAAGACACACACACATACACAGTCACACACTTAGTTCCCTTAAGGTCACTTAAAGGACATAGGGGTTAAAAGAAAGGCTGAAAAGTAGAAACATCAAGGAAAGCAGAAAGCTCCATCTCTTTTTATTTCTGTTGCGCACTGTGTGCGAGGCAAGACTCCAGGTTATTTTTGGCAGAAATCTGTTGTTGGTAGTTAACCTGTCTTTTGTTATAGGAGTGCTGGCTGTGACCCTTATGATGGAGAGGAAAGGTATCAGGTCCTCTCCACCCCTACATAACTAGTTGATTTAAATAGCAACTTCTAAAGTCACCAAACCCAACTAAGGTCATTATCACTCATGGCCCAATAGTGTTTAGTACTAAAGATTTTTCATGTCCCTAGAAATTGTTTTCACTTACATATGTAAGAATAGGGCTTTCCACTGAAAATGTTCAAATAAAAAGATAATTCTAAACTTTCAGCAATTGACATTAACAACTCAAATATACCAGCATTGTGCTTGCTTCAGCAGCCCATGTACTAAAATTGGGACGATATGGAAATTTGCATGGCCCCTGCTCAAGGATGACATGAAAATTCATGAAGCAATCCACGTGTAAAAATTTTTATTAATTTATAAAAAATATATATATGCCAGTGTTACCAATTCCAGCACCTCAGTAAGGCAAGCAGTAAGCAAATGCGTTTATTTGATTTTTATTTTTGTTTTTTGTTTTTAGAGTCAAGGCCTCACTCTGTTGTCTAGGCTGGAGTATAGTGGTACAATAATAGCTCACTGCAGCCTTAGACTCCTGGGCTCAAAAGATCCTCCTGCTTCAGCCTCCGGAGTAGCTGGGACAACAGGTGTGGGCTACCACACCCGGCTAACAAATGAGTTTATGTTGGCTAATCTGTTTTCTGACATGGGTAAGACACAAGGCTATCTTGGTTAAGAGGGCAAGGATGGGATGAGACATCACATCACTTATCAAGTGTGTGACTTCATGTGAGTTATTTCTCTTTGATCCTTGGTTTCCTCAACTATAAAACGGAGTTATGACAGTACCTACAATCTCACACAGGCTGCTGTCTATGAACCAGGAAACAGACCCTAACCAGACAGTGAATCTCCCAGCACCTGAATCTTGAACTTCCCAGCCTCAAGAACTGTGAGAAATAAATTTCTGTGGTTTACAAGATGCTCAGTTTATGGTATTTTGATATAGCAGCCTGAATGAACTAAGACAATGGTTAATGTTGAATATCAGATCCTTACCAATCAGCATTTTAAAAAGAAAACTGAGGGCAACCAAGAAGACACTTACTAGACTGGTGCTCTGAATGGGCTCGGACACAGCTTTAGCTGTGGCTTCATCCTGGCCAGCAGCATTTGACACGGCAGCATTTTCCTGGGCCAGCCCAACCAGCTGGCCACTACTTGTATTCTTCAGCTTATCTGCAATTCGCTGGTTTTCTTTTTCTAGCTTGATTTTGGCTAATTGTGCTTCCAACATCCAATGTTCTTTTTCCTGCTCCAGTTTAGAAATCTTTTCCAAACTCTGTTGAACCTTGAAAAATAACAGTGTTGTATCTTAGAGACTAATATAGATAAAACTTAGTGGCCAAAAACTATTTTACAGAATGTAAACCAAAACTACCCCACAGAGGTAAAAATATAATAATAAAGCTTGACCCTAGAATAGGGAGAGATTTATTAGACATGATATAAAAAGCACAATCATAAATCGAGAAATTAAACTATGGTAAGACAAAAAAAAAAAAAGAAAACTCTACTCATTGAAAAACATCAAGAGTGAAAAGAAAACTCAAATTCAAATTAGAATCTGTAAAGCATTTATCCAACAGAGATCCAATAACCAGAACATACAAGGAATTCTTGCAAACCAGTAAGATAGACAACTCAATAGAGAAAAAGGCAAAGAAAAAAAAAGAAAAAAAAACCCAACAAAAGACTTGAGCAAGACTATAAGCAAATTAAAAAGTATGCAATGTCACTAATTATCAAAGCACAGCAACTTCAACCATCCACTTAACTAAAATAGAAAAAATAGAGAATACAAAAATGGGCATATTTGTGAACAATTAGAACTATAGGTTGGTGCAAAAGTAATTGTAGTTTTGCCATTTATTTAAAAGTAATATCAACAACTGCAATTACTTTTGCACCAACCTAATACCATATACTGTGCTGAACGCAAAAAGCCAGATCAGAAGCAGCATAATTGCATTTAATAAAAAGTTCAGTATCGGGTAAAAAAAAAAAAAAAAAACAGTTCAGTATCAGGAGACTATGCAGTCACTACTCTCCTACCTTTGGGAGACAGGAGAGTAGTGACTGGAAATGGGCATGAGGAAGGCTTCTAAGGTCCTAGTAATTTTTAAGGTAAATCTTTGCTACAAAAAACTCTCAAATCGTTTTTTCTCTGTTCTCACACTTTAACAATCAATACAGGAGACTTCTGTGACCCCATAATATGTGGGGATATTTCCCCACCAACAAACAAGTAGCCAGTTTTATTGTGGACATCAGCTGGATGTCCTCCCATTTAATTCCACCACTATCTACATGGAGATAGTGTTAGATACCACAGATTGCGAGCTCAGTTCCCAAAAATGCCTCCCCTGCAGACAGCAGTCGCCAAGTCTGGACCTTGAGAACTCCCTCTTTGAGTTTGATTAATTTGCTGGAGTGGCTCACAAAAGTTAGGGAAACATGTTTACTGGCTTATTACTGAGGATACAGATTAAGAGATTTAGAGTGAAGCAGAGGAAGGTGTGCAGAATTTCCATGCCCTCCCTGGGCATGCCACCCTCCAAGAGCCTCTATGTGTTCAGCTATTCAGAAGCTCCCAAACCCTGCCCTCCTGGGCATTTTATGGAGACTGCACTGGATAGGCATAATTGACAACCATGAAGAAATGTGACTGGATCTAAATCCAACAAGCCCCGCTGGGCACAGTGGCTCACGACTATAATCCCAGCACTTTGGGAGGCCAATGCAGGGGGATCACCTGAGGTCAGGAGTTCAAGATCAGCCTGGCCAATATGGTGAAACCCTGTCTATACTAAAAATACAAAACTTAGCCAGGCAAGGTCGTATGCACCTGTAATCCCAGCTACTCTGAAGGCTGAGGTAGGACAATCGCTTGAACCCAGGGGGTGGAGGTTGCAGCGAGCTGAGATCATGACACTGCACTCCAGCCTGGGAGACACAGCAAGGCTCCATGTCAAAAAAAACCCCACAAAACCCAATAAGCCCTGTCAGTTTAGATTCTTCTCTGTGCAGCAGCATTTCTTCCTCTAAGGTATGGGGCAAGACCTCCTCTGGAATGAAGGTCTTATGCCCTATAATGCCATATAGTCAGATTAGAGTCCTGCCTTAGGCAAGTAAAAAGAGGGCAAGAGAAGATCAGAGAGAG